GATCTGGAATAAGGGTCATATCTGGAACAATGTTATTTTACTATCATTCAGATGCTAACATAGTTTTGATTTTTAAACAATTGTCATTTTAATTTTTGTGAACATTTTAGCTATTAGTTTTTTTTGTCATTTTAATTTGTTTTCATACATTTTTATTTCAGTTTTTGTTTTAGTTATTTTAATACATCCACTTAAACTACATGAATATTTTGCATATTTTATTTCAGTCATAACATTTATTTGATTTTAACTAAAATTATTTTTTTTATGGTTTTAGTTAACTTAAAATGACCCTTATATGGAATCCCAGGAGTGTTATTTTTTCTCACTGTGTTGAAAGTGATCAGCGCTCTGCTGTGATTTCACGCGGTCCGGTCCCTTTTGGGCCACGAGCCGCTGAGTTTTGGCCTGGGTTGTGTTCCTGGTGCTGATGGAGGCTGTTAGCACCACGGCCAGAGATACAGTTGCTGTCAATGTTTCTCTGCTGGCATCTGCTGTTGCTTGGCCTTCTGGGATGGCAGCTATGTGGTACAGGCATGAATCAGGGCCTGAGATGACGAGGTCTCCTGGGCACCTGCTGCAGTTCATGCCGAAAAAGGAAGATATGCTGTTATTTGAGAGAGAGAGAGAGAGAGAGAGAGAGAGAGAGAGAGAGAGAGAGAGAGAGAGAGTAAACAGGGGGATTTAATTCACACAAGCGTATAGGTACGAACCTCTTGCTCCAGAGTAGCAGGGCTCCATTTAAATAAACTAGCCGTCCTGAGGTGTCAGATTCACCTGTACTAGTTCGTCATTAAACACAGTCCAGTCGCTTGAGTTGCCATCTTGATCCCATCAGAAAGGCTGCATCCTGAAGCAGACCAAAATTGGTTGCAATAATAATAACAATAATTCATTACATTTATATAGCACTTTCCTCGGCACTCAAAGGTCTTTACATAGAAGAGGACCACCACCAATGTGCATCCACCAGGATGATGCAATGGCAGCCATATTGAGTCAGAACGCCCACCATACACCAGCTTACTGGTGGAGAGGAGACAGGGTGATGTAGCCAATGAGTACATGTATATATATATATATATATATGGGGATGATTAGGAGGCCATGATGGACAG